CTCGGCCGGGGCACTGCAGGCGCCCCGACCGGCCGGGAGGCAGACGCTCACGCCCCACTTGCTCCCCAGCACGTCTTTGTGTCCCCGTCGCACACGTCGGGGCTCCTCGCGGAGCGCGGCGCCCGCAGACGGGCAGCCCTGGTGCGAGACCTCCCATGCAGGCCGCTGGGCCGGCCCAGCCCCCGGCCCACCCCAGATCCCGTCCCACATGCCCGTCCCGTAAGTCCCCGCCTCCCAGGCCCCGCCCCAGGCCCCGCCCAGGCTCCGCCCCAGGCCCCGCCCAGACCCCGCCTCCCAGGCCCCTCCCCATAGGCCCCGCCCCAGAACCCGTCTTCCAGGCCCCTCCCCATAGGTCCCTCCCCCGGCTCCGCCTCCCAGGCCCTCTCCATAGGCCCCTCCCCAGGCCCCGCCTCCCAGGCCCCTCCCCAGGCCCCGCCTCCTCAGGCCCTGCCCATGGGGTCTGGCTCCCCAGTGGGCGTCCTGCTGGGCAGCGTGGAGTTGGGGTGGAGATGACGCCCAGGAACGTGGGGCCAGAGTCCGGAGGCACAGGGAGCCCGAGGCCCTGAGCTGTTACCTCCGTACCTGCGGGGCAGGGACTGAGGCTTGTCTGGGAGCAGCGGGCCAGGGGGTGGCAGGGGCGCTGCCCCCTGCCCCCCTCGCAGCGGGGCGGGTCTGCCCCCAGGCCCTGCCCCGCCAGCAGCTGAACACTCAGAGACAGAGAAGGCGCCGAGTCCTGGCACGGGCGCATGCCAGGCGCGGGAGGCCGAGCGAGTGGGGCCCAAGGAGGGGCGGGAGGGCAAGGCCTGGGCAAGCAGGATGCCCGTGGTGGGGCCGGGCGTGAGGGCGCAGGGATGGCGGCTGAGGGTCCCTGCCGAGAGGCCGGACCGGCGTCGTGCCACCCTGGGGTCACCCATCCCCGGAGGCTGCACCAGGCAGCTGCTCCGCGGGGCCAGGTCCCACCTTGCCAGGCCCCGGAGGGGCCCTGGTCAGCGGGGCGACCCCGCGGTGGGGCCGCCCAGGGCTGGCTCTGGCAGCAGCACCTGCAGCTGGGGCTGTCGAAGGTGGGCTCAGCCCGGGGCGCCCCAGGCGGCGGCCGGTTCAGTGGCAGAGTCCCCGGGGCCTGCGGGTCAGGTGGTGGCCTGCAGGTGGCTGTGCCACGGCCCCGTAGGCCACGGCGGGTGGTGAAGCAGGGGGCCTGGGCACCCGGGCCCGCCCCCAGGACACGCCTGCGCCTCCCGGGGCACCCCGCACCCCTCACGTGGGAAGGACAGAGCCAGCCAGCCAGCGGATGGGGGTGGTGGGGCTCCCTACAAGGAGGCCTGGTCGGCCCCACTGGCGCGGGGTCCCCGTGCCCAGCACCCTCGGTCCCGGAGGAGTCTCAGCGCTAGTGGCCGGGGCCTTGTCCCTGCCATGGACACACCGGTCCTCCAGAAATGGAGCCCGGAGAGGCGGCCTGGGGCCAGACAACCCGCCGCGGGCAGACTGGCCCCTCTGCCCTGGGGCTCCCGCCCTTGGCCCGGCCCTGCCTACTCCCGGCGGTAGGCCACTGGGCAGGCGCAGCCCAGCCCCCAC